TGTCCTTCTGTGATTGACTTATTTCACTCAGCATAATGTCCTCCAAGTTCATCCATGTTATGTGGTGTTTTGCAGACTCTACGTTATTCTTTAGGGTTGCATAGTATTCCATTGTGTATATGTACCATAGTTTTGTTATCCATTCTTCTATTGATGGGCACCTAGGTTGTTTTCACCTTTTTGCTATTGTAAATAATGCTGCAATGAACATGACTGTGCATGTATCTGTTCTTGTCCTGGCTCACTTCTTTAGGATATATACCTAGTAATAGGATTGCTGGATCCAATGGTATTTTTAATTTCAACTTTATTTATTTATTATTATTATTTAATTTTAAGAGCTTGTTTTACATTCAATGTTATGTGTACATTTAGTTTCATTCCCCATTTACCATGTCCAACACTAACCCAGTCTCCTCCCCTTCCCTGCCCAGTAACCTTCCCCCCATGCCCCTCATAGTTATGCACTCCTGTGTTTCCTGCCTTCCCTCTATGTGAATGTTGCCCCTGTCTCTGGTGCCCCATGGTCAATTGCTCCAAGGGATGCATTTTCATAGAGTATGTGGGTGCATCACCCTGGGTTGAGTGGTCTGCGTGTACATCTTGTTTATTATAGGGCTGACAGCCAGCCCCTGGGAGTGAGCTTTATTCCAGGCCTAGAATGTATCCTAGGCCCATAATATTGGGGGTCTCACCAGATTGCATCTTTGTTAGACTGGGTTCTCTAGAGAAACAAAACCAGTAAAGCTTATATATATAGAGAGAGAAATTTATCTTGGGAAAATGGCTCATACACTTATAGAAGCTGGCAAGTCCAAAATTCTTGGATCAAACGTCAAGCTGGAGGCTTTTCTCGACTCTTGCAGCTGAAGGGGCTTAGGAGCTCAAGGTTGGCAGTCAGTATACTGGCTGTTGACTCCAACGAATGACGAATCCAAGATCTCCAGGCCGAATGGTGGATTGTTCGCTCATGGACAGTTGTAGGCAGCACAACAGAATCCTGATCCAGAGAAGAATGTCTCTTTTCCCAGGATGTCCATAAATATACTGGAAGCAGGCCACACCCCTAAGGAAACTCCCTTTCAATAGATTGGCTGCTCAAAACATAATTCATCTGATCCCATCATAGGAATAACCACATCAGAACTGCTTAAGCCATACAGAATTGTGGTCCAGCCAAGTTGACACACAGTTCCAACTATCACAGTGCCTAAGGAATTTGACTGCTAACCAGAAGGCTGGCAGTTCAAACCCACCAGCTATTCCTTGGAAGGAGATTAGGCAATCTACTTCTGTAGAGATACCACCTCAGAAACCCAAGGAGGGGTTGCTGTGGGTCGAATTGACTCGACAGCAGTGAGTTTTTTTTTTTTTTTTTTTCCTACTTTCCCACTTGATTAATAATTTGGCAGAATTTTAAGTAGAAATCACATTTCTTTAGAATTTCTAATGCATTATTTCATTGTGCTTACACTTCAGCTGTTGCTGATGCAACAGTTGTTAACAAATCTGATTCCTGACCTATGGTAGTTAAGTTTGTATGTCAACTTGGCTGCTGGTTGAGTGGCTGGGCAGCTGGATGTAGTATTCCCTATGATGAGAGTGGTAATCAACTCCATGATGGAATCTACTATGAGCAGCTGAGTAGCTGCCCTAGGGATGTGGTCTGCTTCCTGTTATATAAGGAGAAGCACTGGGGAATGGTCTTTAGATTATGGTACGCTTGAACCCTGTATGTAGCCAGGTTGTTGTTTAGCAGCCTGCCATGCTCTGCCAACTTTGGGACTTCCAATGGACTTGAATTAATGGCCTGCTGTCTGGTTTGTTAACATCAGGACTGTGCCTTTTTTACTTGTCAACCTCGGTCTTGTCAGTCTCAGCAACCAGCAGCTGTCTGAAGAAAAGCTTCTAGCTTCAGTGGGCCGGGAGTAGGAGGCAGAGCTGAAGCCCAAGGTTGAGGAGCTTTCACCCAGCCCCTAGAGCCTGGCACTTTGAACTTGGACTTAAAGCCTCCAAACTGTTAGAGAATAAACTCCTGTTTGTTCAAGCCATCCCATTTGTGGTATATTTCTGTAGAGTGGCACTAAGTAACCAGAACATGACCTTTGTGTTTCCTAAAGTCCTTTCAGTCTGAAAACTCATGTTTTTCAGTGCTGACAGATTTTCTTGAATCACTTAATTCATGATTTCTTCCCTTCTATTTCTTCTTTCTCAAACTGCTATTATTTGGATGGTTGATTTCCTGGTCTGCTCTTCTAATTTTCTTGTCTTTCTCCTCCTCCCCCCTCCTCTTTTTGTGCTAAACTTTAATCCTCTGTTGATTTTTTTCCTTCAATTTTGCTATCTTTTTAATTTTCAAGGACTTTTTTTTTTGCCTTTCTCCCCCTCCCATCCTATCCCATCCTATTGTGGCTTCATCTTCCCTTACTTTTCTTGGGGGTATTATTGAGGGTTTTATGTGTTCTCCCTATGGTGTCTATTTCCTCCATTTTCCTTATTTCTGTTGTGTGGGCTTCTACTTCTATATAACTTTTTTGGTTCCTGTCCATGAATAAGGATAAAAAGTAAAAAGAGAGCAGCTCTGAGTGGGTGGCGGTTGCTTTTGACTCTGATCTGGGTTTGTGGCTTGTCTAGAAAAACCTGATCTAAGATCCTTGGATCAGACTCTTGGATTAATCTGATTTTAGAAGCCCAGTGAGGGAGGTAGTGGGAGTTTGTTTACAGTGGGCACAAAGTCACTTATATCTCTGTTTTAGGTAGAATACCAACAAAAGAGTTTTAATTCTCCTGGGATCCAGATTTCTGGCTTTTGTGGTGTTTGGGTAACCCACACACAGGCCCTTAGGTGTCCTTTGAACCTTGTTGTTGTTGTTGTTATGTGCCGTCGAGTCGGCCCCGACTCATAGCGACCCCTCCTTGGGTTTCCGAGGCAGTATCACTACGGAAATAGGATTGCCCAACCTTCCTTCCGAAGTGACCTTTGAACCGTAAGCCTTGAAAGCCACATTTGAGTCAAGCAATGGTCCACCATACACTAGTAAACTACTTTGCTTTAGGCATTGCACTCTTTTGAAGAGTTCAATTAGTTTCGAGAAAGAGACTTCAAAAGTCAGACTGTGAATTCTGTTTAGGGTATATCAATAATTATTTTAATTGTCCTTCAAGACAGTGCTGTATGAAAATTCTCCCTGACTACAAATTTATCGGTTCTTTTCTCACACTTTTTTCCATGGCAATGCCAATAAGATTTGGTATAAGAATTTTGGAAGTTCTCATGTTCAGAACATTTCTGACACTTTAGTTGAAATGTTATCCTGATTTGCAAATCATACATATTCAGTAAATGTCAATCAATGTCCATTATTGGCTTAATATAATTTTTGTTTTAACAGTAACTAAATCTGCTACAAAAGATCTCTTTAAAATGTTAAAAAGCAAAGATATTATTAATTACAGGAGAATTAAAGGACTAAGGTATGGCTGACTTAGCCATAGTATTGTCAATCACCTCATATGATGGGAAAGCTGGACAATGAATAAGGAAGGCTAAAGACTGCTAACCAGAAGGCTGGTGGTTCAAATCCACCAGCCACTCCTCGGAAGGAAGATGGGGCAATCTACTTCCGTAGTGATACCGCCTCGGAAACCCGAGGAGGGGTCGCTATGAGTCGGGTCCGACTCGGCAGCACGTAACAACAACAACACCACCAAAAAAGACTGAATTAAGGTTTTAGTGAAGAATACTGAATATACAGTGAATATCAAATATACCTCCTCAGAAGCAAGGATAATGGGATTTCTCTCACATACTTTAGATTTGCTGTCAGGAGAGACCAATCTCTAGAGACGGATATCATACTTGATTAAGAAAAGGGTCAGTGAAAAAGAAGATGCTCAATGAGATGAATTGATACAATGGCTGCTACAATGGGCTCAAAGACAGCAATGATTGTGAGGATGATGCAGGACCAGGCAGTGTTTCATTCTATTGTACACAGAGTCAGTATGAATCGGAACCTTCTCTGTAATACCTAACAACAACAAATCTTTATCCTCTCCAGAGAACTAAGCCTCCAAACTTCAGTGTAGATGGGAGAGGAACAGTGGCCCAGACACAGGAAGCAGAAGGATCTAGCGATCTAACAGCCTTTCAAGCAGCTTTCACCTAATCTCCCTTGTTTTTGACATCTGGGCAATCTACTTCCGTAGAGAGATGGCCTGGGAAACCCAAGGAGGCGTCCCTATGAGTTGGATCCGACTCTACTGCAGTGGGTTTTTTTTTTTTCCCTTGCCCCAAGCCCCTACATACACCCTTTCAGTCTTAATTCCTGAGTTACCTTTTATAGTTCCTGAAACTTTTGAGGATTCCAAGATTTAAATTCAGTTGTTTCTCACTAGCCTCGGCTTCTGTCAGATACTTCTCAACCTTAAAGATTTTTTTGCTTCCAAAATATTTCTGTTGTCTCATTGTCCCTATTAGTTTATTATGCTTTTACTCGAATTTAAGCATGGAAATAAGAGAAATTAGATGCTTGTATCCATATGCCATTTTACTTCAGAGAGAATCTGTATCCTATAAACATTTTAGTCATTCCAACCATGTTCCTCTTAATTAAAGAGCTCTCATACATTCCTTCCAAGGCATGCTACTTCTCCATTTGCGGGCTCCCTCGACCTCCGGTCTCCATAAGAAGACAAACCACGAAACACAGCCCAAGAGAGGTGCGGTGTCGGGAGGAATAGACGTGGAAGGGATGATATCCATGTTATTTAATTTCATCATCAACCTGTCTTCTTGGCGCTGACCCAAGGCTACAGCCCAGAGATTCCCACGCCCCAGGCCACGCCCCTCGGAGCACGGTCCCGCCCCGCGCGCGGAAGTAGCCACCCGGCAGCCCAGTACCTCCGCTGCTTCCCCGTGACCCGCGGGCATGGCAGGGCCGCCGCTCGGACCCGCGAGCCTAGTCCTCCACCAGCCGCTCTGTCTCCTCAGGCTTGCTCTCCCACTGCTGACGCTGCTTTTCACGGCCGGGGTCGGCTGCCCTTGCGAGGACCCTGCCCTGTGCCGACCGATCCTCCACCACCCCGACTACGAGGTCAGTTCTTTTGACTGTCCTCGGTGTCTGATCTTGTCTCCACTACCCCAGAGGAATTTAGAGTGGAAGCGAGCCCTGAAAAGAGGCGATATGGACGCCGAAAGCAGTTTTGACCATTCGCTGAGAGATTTCCTGTTTAATGGTTGCCTTTGTATTACCAGGAGCCCTGGTGGCGTAGCCGTTCAGCGGGAAAAGATGCGGCAGTCAGCTTCCCTAAGGATTACAGCCTTGGAAACACTATAGGGTAGTTCTCTTCTGTCCCATGGGGTCACAACGAGTCAGAGTTGAATCGATGGCAGTAGGTTTTCATTTTACAGAAGGGGAAACTTGGGCTCAAAGGTTGAGTAACTCTTCCCAGGTCACACAATTAGTGCCTGAGACGGGCAAGAGTTCAAACCCAGTTCTGACTCCAAAGGCAGCCTCCTTTCTGCCTTTCCTGGTGCATCCTGGGTGTAAAAGCAACAAAAAAGGCAGGGTAATTAGGTGTTCCCCAAAATCAAACAAAAATGCCGATTCATAGCGACTCGATAGAGCAGAGTAGAACTGCCCCATCGGGTGTCCAAGGCTGTAAATCCTTATGGAAGCAGGTTGTTGTTTGCCGTCCAGTCGGACCCGACTCATAGCGACCCCTCCTTGGGTTTCCGAGGCAGTATCACTACGGAAGTAGGATTGCCCAACCTTCCTTCCGAGGAGTGGCTGGTGGGTTTGAACCGCCAGCCTTCTGGTGAGCAGTCAAGTGCCTTAGGCACTATGCTACCAGAGCTCCTATGGAAGCAGGTAGTCATACCTTTCTCCGGAGCCTTAGGTTCACTCCGCTGTTATTTTAGCCGCGGAGTGCTTAACCATTGTGTTTTTGCAGGGCTCCTCCCTCTCCCTTTCTTTATCACTGTGCTTGCAGGGCTCCTACCCTGCTTGGGCGGTTTTGAAGTGCGCAAATAGATCTTTCAATAAATTTTTCTTTTACCCACCTAACAACTTATAAAGCGTTTTCCAACTTGACCAAACACCATTATGGAGACAATAGTAAAACTAAAACCACATGACTGCCTAGAGTGTTATGATTGGAGGAGGAGTTGGACAATGCCATTTTACTTCAGAGAGAATCTGTATCCTATGTCAGGGAGGTGGAAAAGCTTAGTCCAAAGAACAAATCTTTTGTAGAGATAGGAACTCTTCCAGGTTCTTAATCTAGTAGATGATTAGCTTTGAGGCTGGGAATTTAAAGTAGTGTAGTGCCTAAAGCACTTGATTGCTAACCAGAAGGCTGGCCGTTCAAACCCACCAGCCGCTCCTGGGAAGATTGGGCAGTCTACTTTGGTAGTGATAGCCGCCTTGGAAATCCAAGGCAGGGTCTCTATGAATCGGGTCCGACTCGAGGGCACATAACAACAACATATAGATAGATACACACAGTATATGTATATTGTATATATGGGTTTTGGTCTATCTGTCTGTCTGTCTATCTATCTATCTATCTATCAGAGCCCTGGTAGTATGAGAAGGGTTAAGTACTGGCTGACAAAAAAAAAAAAAAAAAAATTGCCATTAGAACTCACCCAGCAACTGTGTGGGATTGGCAGTCTGCTTCCTTAAAGATTACAGTGAAGAAGTCCCTATGGGGACAGTTCTCTATCACATGGGGTCGCTGAGTCTGAATCAACTGGATAGAAATGGGCTTGGTTGGTATGGCTTATTCACTGATGTACTGTGTCCACTATAGTGCCTGGCATAGATGGGCTGTGTTTAATTTTTTTTTTGGATGATCACCATGTGTTCTGGTTACTTGGTACCACTCTAACAGGAATATACCACAAATGGAATGGCCTTAACAAATTGGAGTTTATTCTCTTACAGTTTGGAGACTTTAAGTTCAAGTTCAAAGTGCCAGGCTCTAGGGGCTGGGTGAAAGCCCCTCAACCTTGGGCTTCAGCTCTGCCTCCTGCTCCCGGCCCACTGAAGCTAGAGGCTTTTCTTCACTCAGACAGCTACTGGCTGCTGAGGCTGACAAACCCACAAGTAAAAAGGCACAGTCCCAACATTACCAAACCACACGGTAGGCCATTAATTCAAGTCCATTATAAGTCCCAAGGTCAGCAGAGCATAGCAGGCTGCTGAACAATGACATGGCTACAGGCAGGGTCCAAACATGCCGTAGGCTAGAGACCATTCCCAAGGCTTCTCCTTCTTTATAGGAAGAAGACCACATCCCAAAGGCAGCTACTCAGCTGTTTGTGGTAGATCCCACCATAGAGTTGATTGCCAGGCTCATGATGGGGAATAACTACCACCAGCTGCCCAGCCGCTCAACCAGGCCCAGCCAAGTTGACACACAAACATAACTACCACACCATAATAGTCTTCTTGATAGTCTTCTTGGTTTAAGTGATAATTAAGTATTCATCGTTTGCTATGAATAAATCATTTCCTGGTTTATTTAACTCTTTATTAATGTTGTTCTGTTCTGGCAGGTATTTGTGTTTGATGTTGGACACAAAACTTGGAAATCTTATGATTGGGCACAGATTACAACTGTGGCAGCTTTTGGAAAATATGACTCAGAACTTATGTGCTATGCTCATTTGAAAGGAGCCAGAGTAGTGCTAAAAGGTAAGTTACAGTTTGTACCAAAACCAAACCAAACTCACTGCTGGGGAGTCAGTTCTGACCTTCTGGTTAGCAGTCAAATGCCTTAGGCACTATGCCACCAGAGCTCCCTGATGTCTATAAATGGTAATGTGACGTGTATTGTTCACCATAGTCCTTTCCAAAAAAAAAGAAAAGAAACCTCCCTCTTTATGTTTATCTGGTATTTTTTTTTTAGCATCCTAAAATTAATCTTCCAAACCGAAAAAACAAAACTCATTGCCATTGAGTCGATTTTGACTCATAGTGACCCCTCCTTGGGTTTCTGAGGCGGTATCATTACAGAAGTAGATTGCCTAACTTTCCTTCCAAGGAGTGGCTGGTGGGTTTGAACTGCCAGCTTTCTGGTTAGCTTTAGGGACTACATCACCAGAGCTCCTAAAGACTGTTTAATTCATTTAACAATGTAATATTTTAAAAGAGTTAAATCAATGTATGACTTTGAGCAAAATGTGAATACCTAAGTACTGTGATAATCTTTAGTCAGTCTATAATTTCTGCTTCTAATTTGAGAATGATTTTGCTACTTACTCATATTGTTTACAATTAGAGACTCTGAGTAATAACTATCTTACTTTACTATATTATTTCTGTATTTGGAAAAATTTAATTGGGGCCTAGTATTTCATTATGATGAAATGTTTTAAAGCCATTTAGGTCTCTTTGATTGATTCGTAAAGTAAATGTCATTAGACTGTAAAAAGCGTATCTTCACAAAAGATGTATATTTCTTCCGCAGGCGATGTATCTGTAAAGGATATCATTAATCCTACTTTCAGATCATCATGGATAGCTGAAAAACTTATTTTGGCCAAAAAACAATATATGGATGGCATTAATATAGACATAGAGCAAGAAGTTAATTGTTCCTCACCAGAATACGATGCATTGACTGCTTTAGTCAAAGAAACCACAGATGCTTTCCACCGTGAAATTCAGGGATCCCAGGTAAAAATTTATTTTGGATACTCCATGTTTTCCTATCAAGTGTATTCATAAGGGTATGACTAATAGAATCTCAGTTTTGTAGTACTGGAATGGGGAAGAATTTCCACATATCTTTTCCTAAGAAATTTTGTGGAGCTTTAGAGACTCTTCCTAGAGGGATTTTAAGGAATTTTAAGATACTAAATCTCATCGCAGGAATGCTGGTGGCACGGTGGTTAAAGCATTCACCTGAAAACCAAAAGGTCAGCAGTTTGAACTCACCAGTAACTTTGTGGGAGAAAGATGAGGCAGTAATCTATAAAGATTGACAGCCTTGGAAACCCTATGGGGCAGTTCTACGTGGTCCTATAGGGTCGCTATGAGTCAGAATTGACTTGATGGAAGTGTTTTGTTGTTGTTGTTGTTGGTTTGTTTAAATCTCACCTCTAAGCATAAAAATAGAACATTGTGATTGCCCCATTACTTGCCTTGCAGAAAGGTTAGAAGTCCAGTGAAATTTGTGAGAGCAGGAACTCGATGGGACTGCCTTGTTTTTCTGGGTCTTACAAGTTGTCCACTTTGGGCAGGGTGGAGTCTTACTACTCTTCTTACACTCATTTAAGTGGAAAATATTTGAGTTTTCCTTCTCTGACAGGTTTAGCCTTTATACCAGTTACAGCTTTTGCAGGTTTTACTCTTTTATATAGGCAAGGGGACAGCAGAAATTAGGTAGGCCCTGTGTGTACAAATCCTGCATTCAGCAGTACAGGTAAGAAACAGCTCTTGCCTAAGAGCAGAGGTAGTTCTAGGTAACTGTCTCTTTTATTTCATAGACTGTGAACTACATGCAAAGCACCCAAGACCCAATAGGTCTCAAAGGACAACACTGTAACACTTATCAGAGTGATGACAAAAGGCAGTAAATGTACCTATTGCCCAAATAAGCATGATTAATGCAGAAGATCACAACACAAGGCATCTAGCTAGGCAATGTGTGAATAACAATGGAGATTGTGTCCCCAGATCAACACTCTCAGACCTGCCTATCAAGATAACTATAGTTTTTTTTTTTTTTAATTGTGATTTGGGTGAAAGTTTACAGAGCAAATTCGTTTTTCTTTCATACGCATTTTGTATTGTGACATTGATTACTATCCCCACAATGTAACAGCTGCCTTCCCACTTCTTTCCAGAGGTTACCTTCTCCCTCTATCATTCTTTCCTATGCATTTCTGGTGTCTGAGCTACTTCCCTGCACAAATGCTGCCCTTCTACTCTCCCATGGTTGAATGTTCTAAGGAGTGTACCTACCTGGTATAATTGTTCATCTCATAGGCTTGTCTGTTTGGCTGGAAGATAAGCCATCAGTTCCAGGCCTGAAGGGTTATTAGGGGCCATAGTCTTTGGAGTTTCACCAGTCTCTATCAAACCACTAGGCTAGGTCTTTTTTATGATTTTGAGTTTTGTTCCACATTTTCCTTCCACTCTATCTAGGATGTCCAATTTTGATCCCTTTCCATGTAGGCTGGCACTGGTAGTGAGGCACGATCATGTTATTTTGGTCTCAGGGTCATGTAGACTGAACTTCCTATTGTCTGCTAGTCCCTTAGATGAATTGTTTCCATGTGCCATTGATTTCTTCACTCTTCTTTGCTTCAGACAAGGAGAGACCAATTGTTGCATCTTAGCTGGCCACTCCCATCTGTACTTCTTGTGCACCTCTCTGTGTTTTCCTTTTCCTTAGTGTTTCCTTTCTGGTCACTTGCTTTTGGTATATTGCCTTGTCTTCACCCAAATCAATACCTGTCTTTTACCTAGCTAACAATTTTTCCTCCCCTCCCCTCCCATTGCTAGTAACCAACAAAGAAAATTTCATTCCATGTGTAAACCTTTTACTTGACTTTTTATAATAGTGGACTCAACAATATTTGTCCTTCTGTGATTGACTTTTTTCGCTCAGCATAATGTCCTCCAAGTTCATCTATATTATGAGGTGTTTTGAGTATTCTTCATTGTTCTTAGTGTTGCATATTATTCTGTTGTGTATATGTACCATAGTTTGGTTATCCATTCATCTGTTGACGGGCATTTAGGTTGTTTCCGTCTTTTTGCTGTTGTCAGTAGTAGTGCAGTGAGCATGAGTGTTCATATAGCTATTCCTGCCCCAGCTCTCACTTCTTTAGAATATATTCCTATAAGTGGGATGGCTGGATCAAATGGTATGTCTAATCCCAACTTTTTAAAGGAAATGCCATATCATTTTACACAGTAGTTGAACCATTTTACAGTCCCACCAGCAGTGTATGAGAGTTCTATTCTCTCCATACCCTTGGCAGCATTTGTTATTTTCTGTCTTGTTGAACTTTGGTATTATTCCTAGGGTGAGATATCTCATTGTTTTTATTTGCATCTTTCTAATGGCTAATGATCACGAGCATTTCTTCATGTGTTTGTTGGCTGCCTGAATATCTTCTTTGTGAAGTGTCTGTTCATGTCTTCTGCACATTTTTTTTTTTTACTCTTTTTTTTTAAAATTTTGATTTGGGTGAAGATTTACAGAGCAAATTCACTTTCTATACAGCAGTTCACATATACTTT